AGGGGTCCTGTGGGTACTGTGAGGGTGTGAGAGAGGTACAGGAGTAAGTTTCAAGGTTGATAGATAAGGTTTGGGAGAGGTTCAAGGAAGGATTTTCAAGGTTTGAGAGGTGAGTTTTTGGGGTCAATTTTCAAGGTTTGAGGGGAGGTGTTCTGGGTGTTTCTGTCCTGGTTTCCGTGTGAGTTGATCTTGCAATATGTTATGGGTGTTCTGGGCAGAGCAGGAGGGATCTTCTGGGTTCTGGTTCTTGATGTTAGATTGCAAGATGAGGAATGTACAAGGTGTGGATCTCAAACAAACTCCAAGTTCAAAGTTCGTGACATGTACATAATAGGCTCTCTACATATGTAACGTCCCCAGTTCCAGTCCTCCACAGTTCATAACAATCACACATCTTTGCAGATCCTTTTTCTTAGCAAAATTGCAACACAAACTAAACATCTAGCGGAGACATGTTGGTTGAATGACACATGTTCCTTGATAAACATGTCCTTAGAAATGCTGTATGCTGACCCAGCAACTTTCACCAAACATCTCAGCAACAACAATGTCTATTTTTTTGTATACAACGTTGTGGTAAGACAAATCAAAACCTGTTACACCTTTCTAGCACCTTTCTGGATCCATTTTTCATCAATTACATATCATAACACCCCTCAAATCAACATTCTACATATGTAATACACTCATTGCCACCTTCAATCACTCCATAGACACTTCCATCAGAACCACAAAATCCAACAACCCATCAGTAACACTCCACATGGATCACCAGCCACACCTGGCAATAAAATAAGTACAAATAAGGTATAAAGTGGGAGAAAGTCCACCAGAAAAGAGAGCCAGACTATTAGGAAAGACCCCTGATCTTCACCATCATTTTTTCTCCTTATTACATACCATGGCACTTTCTAAAGTAGCCTCATATGTCATGTTTCCATCCCTGTTGCTTCAGCCTTGTTTCACCCTTGTCACACATGCCATTCCCAAGCCTGTCTCCCAAGCCATGTTGTTGCCTTGTTACATGTACCCTGTGATGATGCCTTGCTCCTTGTTTTCATATTCCCCTCCAGAAGACTTATATGTAGTGCTCTCTTGGCCCTTGCCATTTGTCCCCTATCAGAGTTGTCATTATTGCTCCCTGGTCATTGATTTAACATCACTTACTTGGAATATATTTAGCCTTACAGAATTAAGACATTTCACACAGACTTATTATCATCATACCTTACCCTTTTACATATCTTACATCTTCATTTAGCCACACCTTTCTTTAAGAATCCATAATCTTATTTCTTGTTCTTCTTACTCTCCCAGTAACCAGAGAGGCAGCCCTTCAAGCTCTCATCCCTCTCTAAGCTCTATTCCCACCAAAGAGTAGTTCCACAACGTGTCAGACTTTTCACATTATATGGGTTAATATGATGTAAATAATACCTTATATAGATGTATGTGGTCGATATACAATGTTTTAAGATCCCCCAATGTCTCCTTGATACATCCAGCTTATGGGCAAGGGTTATTTTGGCAATAAACAGGAGCATGTTCAGGGCCAAAACAAACACTACCATCCCATCGGCATAAGCAAAAAAGAACAGCCAGCCAATTTAAACCTGAAATCTGATCCAGTTTCTCCTCTTTCAGTCCCCTCCAAGACCCATTCCTAATCTAGCAATGGCTGATGCTCTCTGCCTCGGTCAAATCCTCATTCCATTTTCTGCCAGATCCTCAATTTTTTCCTCCAATGTTCCCCAGGTTGCTTTCCTCTAGCAAGGAAACCATCGAGTCCATGTGTTAGGTTCAGCAAGCCTTCATTTTGGGGATTTCAGCAAGATTCAAAGCAGGTTTATTGGGCCGCCGTTAGGGCCGGTCAGAGGCTGTTCCACTCAAATGACTGAAACACAATTTTCTCCGCCGGAGCCAGCTTTGATCAAACTTCAAGCACTTGTTGTTACAAACAATTTTTCAACTACAAGCTTTTGTTTTCAGTTGGTCTAAGTATGTTCAAAGTGTTCTTTCTGGATTTGGTAGTGTGGATATTGAGCTCCTGTCAATTTGGAGCTACAACGCAGACCTTTTCTTTTGGATAACACACCTCAAATCTCAACATTATCACCTTGGACAATCTAGCAATCACAGCTGGCTTCACCCATAACTTGTCTGGTGCTGCACAACTTTGAAAGATCACCAACTGAGCTCTGTCCAATTTCTGAAACAAAACAAATCCAACAAAGACATAACTTCACAACTCTGGAGCCACTCCGACAATGACTGGATCAGGGATAGTGTTGAAGAATGTACTGAACTGGATGGCTGGTAGTGAATCTGAAAAACAATGAGGATCAATACTTGCTGATGATATGCATGGGGCTTGGAAAGACTTTGACGGCATTAATTTTCATTCTGCCAATCAGCCAATCAGCCCTCCTTTCTCAGTGGTCTCACCTTGGCAATTCACCAATGATGTCAGCAGCTACTCTTATTGTATGTCCCTTGGAAACTCTGTCAAACTGGGAAAATGAGATCCAAATGCATTTTCAACCACAAACAATACCCTACTGTATCTTCCATGGAAGAAATTGAGGAAAAATCAAACACAACATGAGCTAATGTCTTCAATTGTTGTGCTAACAACGTATGAGATGATTGGAAAAACTGGGAATAGCTCCACAAGCCTGCTGATGATTGAATCACTAAAAATATGCTGGTTCAGAATAGTGTTAGAAAAATCTCAGTGAGTACACTACCAGAGAGATATTCAGCTGGAGCAAGACCCTTTGAGGAAAAAATGTGGTACTGATTATGTGGAACATATAGTATGATCGGGAGCCGGATTGAAACAAGGACACAGGTTATTCAGCGCCTTGGTGCCAAACTTTTCTTATGTTTAACTGGGACTCCGCTGCAGAACCGCTTGACAGACCGCCAAAGCCTTGTTCAACTATTGAAGATGAAACCATGGAGTAATTTCCTAATACCTAACATAAATGTTGGCTCAATCCCAGCCATCAAATCGTTAAACTGACTCATGGACAGGATATGCTTGAGGAGGACAAAGGATGTCTTGTGGAATCTTCCACCAACGACCAAGTGTGCAGTTGTGGTTCATCTCAGCTCCTATTGGCAAAAAATATTGCACAAACTTCATCAGACTTTTGTGCAGAGTTTGGGACGTTTACAAACCTTGGCAGATGTTTGGAATTCTGGTGAATTCTTCCGGCAACTTACAATGATCCAACAATTTTGTGATCACCCGCTTTTTGCTAGAGAAGAGACCGAATTTGACCAAAGTGGTTCATCTTATTGATAAACTCAAAGATTCAGAAAGTCAAGGAAGTGGAAGAACACAACCAAAGTCTGTTATATTCTCAAGCTATGTTGGCTTTTTAGAGATGTGAGTTTGCCTAGTTCCAAAAATAAAACCACTATGCATATAATTTAATTTGCTGACAAGAAATAAAATGTATTCTTTCAAGAATTGAAAACGGCCTCTCAGCAAACAGTATACAATCCACATGGCTCACTGGGAACATGAGCATCTCACAGTGTTATGAGAGTCTGGCTCTTTTTTGGGGTAGCACTGATTCTAACGTGCTCCTGGGGCCGATTGCAGCAGGAGGGGTGGGGATTGATTTGAGATGTGAAGAACTTGTTTATATCATGGTGAGTGCACATGAGGCAAGAAAAATATGTATGGAGATCTCACATGAATTTGGATTTTTGAAGGAGCCAAGCTGGAATCCAGCAATGGAGGCACAGGCTATTGATTGTCTTTGCCTGCTAGGGCAGGTGAAACAGGTGAATGTATATAGGTACTATGTACAGTATCCTCCCAGATGTTTATGTCTGGGGGTAAACCTGTCACAGTTCCACTTGACCCCGCGCGGTGACTGACTGACTGACTGAAGAGCCAACTCAGCCAAACAATCCGGATCCACCACACCTCCAACTTCTGACAGCCTCATCATCAGCCTCCACCAGTCAGAAGACCGAAGCCCTTTCAAGGGACCTTCTTGGATCAATTTGTCCCCTCAACTGGTACCCAACCGGCTAGCTTCAGCCTGAGCCCAAGGCTTTGAATCTAGCGGTAGCCGCGCCAAAACCTCACCCTGACGCATGCCGTCAAACTTGTCCCAGCTTGACAAACGACTTGATTCGGAGGCTTTGAATCCAGCGGTAGCCGCACAAAAAACTCGCCCAGACGCACGCTGTCAACCTCGTCGCACAACTGACTCGCTTCGGAGTCTTTGAATCTAGCAGTAGCTGTGCAAAAACCTTGCCCAGATGCATCAACCTCGTCGCAGTTTGACAACTGACTTGCTTTGTCCTGAGCACAAGGCTTTGAATCCAGCGGTAGCCGCGCCAAAACCTTGCCCACCCAATCAAATGGGCCTTGTTGTAGAGGCCTCTGGTGGGCCAATAAAATATTAATTTTTGATTTTTTTAAATTTTTTATTTCATAATCATTATCTTCCGCATCTCAGCTAAACTCCCCATGTTTTGTTTTATTTTTAAAGAAATTAAATTTTGCTTTTATTTTTTTCAAAATGTCAAGCAATGACTTTTCCTATTCTGTTGTTTCATACTCTTTTTTACCATCACCCTATCTACCACTCCCAAAAAATAGGAAATAAAGAATGAGTATACTTTTTTAAATTAAGTAATCCAACTGCCATAAACATCTGGGAGGAGACTGTACTTGGAAAACTGGAGACAAATGAGAAATACCTGACGATGAGAACATCCGGATTAATCATGCCCAGGGACCTCATCCTTCCTTGCATACTACAGCCTCGGAATCAACATCCACAAGAAGACCAGTCAAGCAAAAAAAGGATCCCCCCTCTGTCAATCCAGCCTCCCTCTTGACAAAAGTACCCTTCTCTGCCAGTTCTGCCATCCCAAGTACTCCAGCCACCATTAATAGTGGCACTGATCCAGGGAGGGCTACCACTTTCTCACTTGCCAACCCTGTATCAGCAATAACACCAACCACTCCCATGGCCGCCCCTGGTGAGACAAACTTTGACCAAATCTCACAGAAAATCTCTCCTGCTGAAGTGTTCAAACTGGTTGACTCTCCAAGTGCCCAGTTGCCTCAAGGTGTTCAAAAAAGTCAAGATCCCAGCCCTCCTGACAAAAATCATGGTATGTTGATTGCTTACACTATCTTTCTCAATGTTGATTTTGTCAAGGCAATGTTGCCTACAGCCTGCTGGAGACTGAACACCATTGCTATGTACTCAGGTCAACCTCTAGAAGAAGATCATCAGTCATCAGAGAATCAGCCCAATGGCTCATCTGCCAACCTCCAAGCTCCAAACAGCCAAAACAACAGCACTAAAACTACCTCTTCTGTGCCACCCCCACCCCCAAACGATTCAACCAGTCAACCCACAGCATCAACAGACCCACTCACAAATCTCACAATGCTCAAGTCAAGAAATGCAAGAATTTCAGTTGTCAAATATCCATCAGCATGTTGATGGTGTGAAGCCCAACTGGGAAAGGTACCAAACTACGTGGACTTCCCTCTCAAACCTGGCACACTTCTGAACCCAATCTCTCCAGAACCCAGGACCACACAATCTTGATTTTCCCTTTGAAAGGAAAACCTGCTCATATACTTCTTGGATAAAAACTATCAGCTCCCTTGGTTAGTTGAACCGTGTATGTTTTTGTTTCCACCTGACCTACCATACTGAAAGAATAGAGCTATCTTCCCTCAGCCAATGACTTCTTAGCTTCATTGCCAAATGACCAATGGAACTTCCCTGACGTCATTGATTTCCCCCTGATTGCGCTGTATTCCCAATTGGAAAAGTCTGGATCCTCCAAGAAATTCATTTCTCCAACCAACAAAACTAAACATCCTGAGTCCACCATCATACACTTCCTCCACCAACTTCAAAGTCCACCCCCTTCAGTCATCTCCAAATGGGCAAAAATCATTGCAGCTTCTGTTGAGGTCATGGCATTCAATCTCTACACCCCACCTCCTCCAACCCCAGATACTGATGACAACCCAATCAATCAAGGGCTTCAATTTCTCCAATGGCTTGAGGGACTGAAGAACTCACTATCAACTTTTGAAACACCTAGAGAGACCCAACCGACCTCTGCTGCCCCTGAAGGGGAAGTTGTCCTGCGCTCTCACACTATTGATGTTTTGAAAGACTTCTCAAAGGTCATAATCAATGTCTTCATGGGCTACATCATATTCCAGGTTCATGCTCTCAGCCCACCTCCCTTAACAAACAGCCAAATCAAGAAGCAAGCCCCAGCTCCCCAAGAAAATTCTGCCTTTGCTGTTACTCAAAAAACAACTGGAGGAGCTTTCACAACAACCTCTACCTCCACCAAGCAACTGAAGTCAATCCAGTCCCAACATAACTTCCAGCCCCTTACATACTTCCTTATTGGTGGTGTTCGAGGCCTCTTGTCTGTTCCAGGAATCACCGTACATCTCCAGCATCAGAATGTATGTTTTTTATCCAGGCCATGGAAGTGATAACTCAGTGCTCAAAGTCACCCAAAACCCGGGGGACGTAGGAGCCCATTTGAAAAGTCTCTGCATACATCGTCAAAATATTCCAACCAGCGTTCCAACCGTTCACCAGAATAGTTCCCCTTCAAAAAAGGCTAGATCCCCATGAGCTAGCACCAACAACGGGCCAGTTACATTAACCGTAGTGTTAGTGTAGCGTAGTGTTAGCTTTTTAAGCTACACTACACAAAGGTTAAAAATCCAAACATAAAAGATAAATGAATAACAAAATCACACACAAACAAAAACTTGTGAATCAACAAGACACAAAATAACAAAATGATACCACATCTGCAGACTTTACCCCTTTCAAAATCTCAATCCTATTGTTTAACAAGTATTATATCAGCATACAAACATCTCTCTCACCATTCTCTTTCAATCTTAATCTGAAATATATATTATTTTATCAAAATCTAACAACACGATGAAATAAAGAAGGATTCATACCAAATTTGTCCATAAGACATTGGATCAAACACTCATAATATTAAATATTTAAATTTACTTTGGGGTTTCTTGAAGTTCAATTGAGATTGTGCATGCACTGGCATTGAAAAGATGGATGTAATCAAGAGGGATTAGTACCAAATTCATCCAGAAGATAATGGGTCCAATACTCCAAATATGAGATACATGCAAGTAATTGATTACTTGCATGTATGTAGGTATCAAAACCATCAATTCCACCATTTATGAATTTATGGTGCATCAATTCAAGAAAATAGCCCGGGAAGCTTGGGTGTTGTTTTCATATTTCAGTAAATCTGCAGATGATACAAACAGGCTTCATCACATCAGTCATGAAAGGTTTAGTGAAAAATAGTTGAATTATTCATATTCTCCCTGAATTATCAAATTTTATTGAATTCAGTATTTATTAATGGAGAGGTCATTCTGAGAACAGGATTCAAATTCTATGATCTAAACTAAGGAATTAAAACATATCCTTTGAATTTTATTCCTTTGCAATTTTGGATAATATTATACATTTCCCATAGCACATGGATCAAGAATCAACTTCAAGTATTTGAATTTCCTTTCAAATACTTGATGAACCCAGGTTAAAATGATAATTATGTTATCATTAACTACAACAATACCAAGGTCAGACTCATGATTTAAGTATTGCTGTGAATCATATCAATAATAATTATATACTGTGATGAACAGAGGTTATTATGAATTATGTTATCATCAATTACAACAATAATAAGGAACATGATGTAGGTATTGCTGTGGATCATGTTGTCATTAATTATAACTGAGCACACCTGTAATGCAATATTAGAGTTCTGAGACTGAACACAGATTATACTAAGATCATGGTGGAAATTTGAAGTTAAGCAATGTCGATCTTTATTACAATTAGGGGGTATCAAATATAACCAAATCCACCATTATTTAATTGACTGGTTTGAAAAAATCCACCCTTTTTTAAACATGTTGGTTATCCATTTAACCCCTTTTGGGGGCCATTTATGCAAAAAAAGTTTTTGGAAAAGTGACTGGTTTCTGATGGTGGATTTCCTATATTTGATACCCCCTATTTTCAAGTAGTTCCAACATAGTCACTCATATTTCAATGAATGAGTTACTTCAATCTACAGGCTTCTAGAATAATTCAATGGAGGTGACCAGGGGAACAATTTCTAAAACATTATAACATTCTGTTGAGGATGAATTTTTTTCCAGCCGTACAGCAGTTTTTGATTCATTTCAAATGAATATGGGGGACTGACACAATTCATCCATCTCTTTGAGGATCATGTTATACCATTATCAAGGCTCAGAAAATATGTTATACGTGGGTCCTGATTGGTTAGAATATATAATTCAAAGAATTTAAGCATCAAGCAAAACTGGAATATTTAAAATTGTGCCAAGTAGTAATCAGAATTGCAAAAAACAGGTTAGAAAATTAAAAAGAAAGACAACAAAAGTCTAGCCCAAGCTGAAGTACAAAACAAATAGTAGAAATGATCTCCAAAGTAATTTTAATCTTTATTGTAAAAACCTGCTTTATATCTGTCACAAGCATTAGATAATCGTAAATTAATCTGAGCAGACATCCCAAGACAAGTGAAAGCAGTACTTTTAGTAGAAGGCATAGTACAATGTTTGTAGTGGTTTGCTTGCCAAATCATTTTGACAATACCATGTTGATGGTCAAAGTTGATACCAAATTTATGATCAGGAAAGACAAAAGGACCAGAGGATATGTCATATGAGGATGGTTCAAGAGCTAAACTACCATCTGAAGAGAGTTTTGGAATAAACATAACAAACCAAATTGAGAAATATCTTCTTTATTGGAATGGGGTGAATTGTAAAAATGATTAGTGGTAAAAACTAAGTGGGGGGAGCAATAAGATTCAGTTTTTTAATTGTGAAATTCAAGAGCAGAAAAAGAAGGAATATTATGTTTCTTCATCAAGTCTTGGTTTTCTTCAAATGGGGTATTAGCCATTTGTTTGAAATGATATCCAAGGATATCTGCAATTTTATGGAATTTGGTGAAATGTTCATGGAACTCTTCTATGTATTTGGTTTCAAATTTTTTGATATATCTACCAACAATCTGATCACCATCAGATGAATTCCTCTACCCAATCACCCACATTAATACTCCCCAAGAACAGCTATTGACGGCGACAGGAGAGATGAATTTTTTTGAGTGATGGAGAAAAGTGGTGAAAAGGTTCAGATCAGCCTTATCTTGCTCGGACATATCTTTGAACTTGATGAAATTGATGAAAGCAATAACCAATTCCTTATCCAATATTGAGGCCAGTCTTGAAAAGATGGAATGTTTCAACTTGATTGTAGGCTGATTTGATCTCTTTGGGAGTAGGTGGGCAAGTTGGTTTCTTATGGCGATCAACTGGGATGGTTGGATAGAGGTCGAGTTCTTCATATTTGACTTGCCTCCAATTGACAAAGTGCGTGGTATCACTTGGGTTGAGAGTTTGTTTGAGAAGCTGGTCTCAAGTTTCCTGTTTTTTTTTTTTTGGCCTTGCACCGTTTCTTTGCCGCTTTCCTACTAGCATTATTATGACTATCAAAAATAAATAAGTCCCAAGGGTTTGAATCACCCAAAGATCAAATCATTCCATCATTTAGTAAATTTACAATAGGAGCAGAAGGAAACAGGAAGAGTAAGAAGAAACAAACAAAAACTTGATCAAAAACCTGCAGAACTGTAATACATATTTGAAATCATACCGCTTGTTTTTTCCCATCCTGTTTGTAATCCAGAGTCAATGGTCAAACGAACGTGCGTGGGGGTACCTAAATCAAAGAGGGGGTGAGGGTAGCAAGAATCAGTTTCAGGGTAGCAGAGAAGCAATGGTGAGGGTAGCTTAACAGGTCAGAGGGCTGTGGTTGATTGATTTTGTGAGGGTAGCTTAATCCAAGGTGGTCGGTCAAAAAAACATGTGTGGGGGTAGCTAGATCAAAGAGGGGGAGTGAGGGTAGCAAGTATCAGTGGCAGGGTAGCAGGATAGAGACAATGAGGGTAGCGGTGTTGGTCGGTCTTTGGTTGATTTATTGTGCAAGGGTAGCTAGATAAAAGAGGTAGGGAGGGTAGCTGGTTAGTATGGAAATGACAAGGGTAGCTTGTTCTCAATCAAACAATAGTTTGATTGATCAATTCATCAATGGTTTGATTCTTTATCGATCAATCAATCAATCGATTGATCGATTTATCAATCAAGAGATCAATATATCGATTGATTGATTGATTTATCAATCAATAGATCGATAAATTGATTGATTGATCAATTTATCAATCAATAGATTGATAATAGATTGATAAATCAATCAATCGATTGATAAATCAATCAATAGGTTGATAAATCAATCAATAGATTGATAAATCAATCAATAGATTGATAAATCAATCAATAGATTGATAAATCAATCAATAGATTGATAAATCAATCAATAGATTGATAAATCAATCAATAGATTGATAAATCAATCAATAGATTG